TTCGAAATAAATCTTTGACTATAAGGTCCATATTCTTGATACATCATACTATATGAGCCATAAAAGCCTGATATATCAAATATGATACTCAGCAAAAAACACATATGTAAACTGACTATTATTTCATATGTCAGACTTTACATCCTAAAATAAATGGCACTTGGTTTCATATTTGGTTAAATAGTGGTTTAATGTATAATGCAGTGGCATTCATAAACTTTTTTGGACACTGTTTCTTACAGCTATTAAAAAATGACAAGTATAATTGTTGAAGTCTATTTATGAATGACTTATGACTTATGAAATGAAAAAAAAAAAAGAAAAGAAAAAAAAAGTGCAGTTTCTTTCCTGCTCAATATGTCACTGTAACAGATACATTTTGTATGCTAATTTCAAATAGTTACCTATTTCAAAACACAATCCAACAGAAGAAAATCATTTAATTTATCAGACAAAAGAAAGTAATCAATATCCTTTGCTGCAGGAGTTGATATGAAGTTAGATTTACTTGCTTTCATGAAATTGTGAAAGGCTGTTCTACAGATAAAACTCTCTTTCCAAAAAGGTGATGCATCTGAGGTGTTTAATTTTCATGTGGAAATGAAAAATAAGACAATACTAAATAAGTATCAACATTTTTTACATTTTATTTGCACTTGTGTAAGACCTCCAAAGCAATTGGTATGTCACATTTTTGCCATGTAGAAAGTAATGTTAAAATAAATTATTAAAATATAATTATTCTTCAGTGCTTTTTTAAATTTGCATGACATTTAATGCTAAATTATATGTATACTTTAATTCAGCATATATTATAGTACAGTGTATATATGTTCTATAATAATACATTACTACTGTTATTATTTAATTTATTTATTATTTATTTATATTCAAAGCATATTCACATCATTTGTACTTCTGAAAAATCTTTAATCCTAACAATTGTGCATATCTGAATTTAAAGTATAATTTAAGTATCTCTTTGCTCAAAAGCAGAAAAAAAAGGTGTGAGAAAAAAAAAACACCTTGACATTCACATGGTCACGTGAAAGTGCAGCGATTCATTTGAAATTAAAATGCTACTGAATTATTGACAGAGGTATTCCTAAATTCCCAACTAATTATCTGCTTCTGTTCCCAATAGGACGGACCTGAGGCAGGACAGACGGTGAAGGTAGGGTCTTAATAAGCACTCCCTCTAAATTTATCATGAGGCTTCTGTCACACTTATCTCGTATTAAATAATAATTGTATTTCATTTACAGTCCTAAACCCTTTGAGCATGTCAATTATGCATGTGTCTGGTTTAAAATGCTTTGTCCATATCTTGTGGGCATATGACGGCTGAATGCATGTTCAGAAAGTTATTTGGCCACTAGTGAAGTGTGGCGATCTCATTTGGATGTCCTTTTATCCAGTGTGTGCTTTCAAATGCTTTCTTAATATATATTTTGAATTATATTTTATTAATTTTTTTGTTTTGTTTTCATTTTAGTTAAAGTTGTAGTCATTTCGTTGTGTATTTTTATAATTTTTATTTAAACAAACCTGTTGTTTATATAGTTTTATTTTTTAATTGTTTTAATTTTAGTTACGTTTGCACTTGAACTCTAACTAAACAAAAATGAAATAAAATGTAATAATGTTTAATAAATTAAACAGTTTGATTTTGTTTTATCTCAGTTAATGTTTATTTTATTTAAAGTAATTAAAATGATATTATGGTTTTAGTTGTAGATTTAGTTCATTTAGTTATACGATAATAAACTATGTATGTATATGTAATATTAAATGTAATATTCTCTATATATAATATACATATAAATAGTTATTCTACTAGTGAATACAGATGGTTATATACAGTTACAATCAAAATTATTCAACCCCCTTGACCTGCAATACATTTTGCTGCCCAGAACAAATTTTTTTTTAAAACATTTCAACAAAGGCATCAGTGAACTATTAGAGAAAGTTTCTTAATACACATTTAAGTGATTCTGAGAACGTAAAGTTGAGGAAAAAAAAAAAAAAAAATGGCTCTAAACATTTATGTTCAAAATTATTCAACCCCCAAGAGTTAAATTTGGTGCAGCATCTTTTATTCTTTGTAACCTCCAATAAACACTGCCTATAAGTGCTTAGAAGCTCCTGTCACCTCTCTACTGCAGTCTTGGCCCATTCCTCGCCTGAAAAAAGCTTTCAGATCACTGATAATCTTTGGTTTTCACATTGCCACTGCTTTCTTCAGATTCCAACAAATATTTTCAATGAGAATTAAATCTGGAGACTGAACAGGCCACTCAAGAACATTCTACCACTGACCCCTGAGCCAAGCATAAGTAGATTTGGATGTATACTTTGGGATGGCTGTCCTGCAGGAAAGTCCATTAATCATCAAGCTTCAGTCTCTGCACCGAAGGCATCACAATTCTTGCCAAAATGGCCTGATACTTCCTAAGAATTCATGATGCTCTATACAGTCAAAGATTTCCACTTCCTGCAGCAGTAAAACACCCCCCATAACAGGACTGCTCCACCTCCAAGTTTGACCATGGAGATTTCGTGTTCTTCTGTTTATAAGCTTTGCCTTTTTTGCACCAGACATACCACTGATCCATGGGTCCAAAAGTTCCAGTTTGGTCACATCACTCCATAAAACATTCTTCCAGAACTCCACAGGTCTACCCAAATTATTTTTTATCATATTCAAGCTGTTCTTTTATGTTCTTCTTGGTCAAGAGTGACATTTGGCAACAAGAAGGTAATGCTTAATTAGTGTTTTTCGTATTGTTCTTATACTCTGCATTGAAATGACATTTCCTCCTTTCATCAGGGCATCCTGCAAGTCTTTGGCAGTACACTGCAGTTTTTTTTTTTTAGTTGCTCTGTTCAAACATTTTATGATATTGTGTTTTTTTTCTTAACCCTCAAAGATTTTTTATTTATTTTTTTTTTCCATTACAACACATTTTAAGCTTAGGAATAAGGCTGCCAGCTGTGTCTCTAGGAACTGTTAGTGTCTTGCGAATCTTGACGTAGCCTTAGACTTTCTAAGGTAATACAACTAATTCTTCTCTTTAACTTTTGTGAGATCTCTGTTGACGTTGCCATAATTGCTACTCAACTTAGGGCATACATGGGCAACAAGGGGGGTTGAATAATTATGACATAGCTGTGCTATTAAAAAAATACTATAACTCAAAAATATTACATAATATACTGACATTATCACTTTTAATATGCCAGTAAACTGTTTTAGATGCAATTTTGTATAAAATCTTCAGAAAAGCTCGTATTGGTAAAGTAGCCTACTACAGTCTCTTTATGTTCAGTATAAAGTTAAAGTAAATCAATAGTTTTTTCAACTAATTTACTTCCATTTATTCTGAGTGAAATATTCAACAACAACAACAAAAAAGTAAGATGGGACATTTTTGTAGGGCTGAAAAATAAAGTAACAAACAATATTACAAAGACAGACTTTTCACAATTAATAATGCGCACTGAGTCATGCACAGTAACTCCAGGGACGTTTTTTTTAAGAACAAAACAAATGACCTTTTGTCTGTCCCCATACAGCCCGAAAAGCTCTGCTGGTGATTTTGAGTGATTTTTGTGGCCTTTCCACATTTGCTGTACTAGTTTGTGCACATTATCTAATTGAATACATCAGTTACATTGTCTTTCATGTGTGAAGTCATATTTAATTGCATGTGGTAAGGCGTATTAATTATGCATGTATAGCAGCTTCCACGAGAGCAGTCTGGTTGTGGCCTGAGGTGTGGAGCTGTATTAAAATGGCAGTAGTGTTAATTATGTTAATTGCGGTGGGACTGGACTGAATTCCAATGCCTCTTGACATAACTCCAATGTCTCTCGTTGGATTCTGGAACATGAGCAACACTTTCTCCTTTGAACAGTAGAGCAAGTCACTTTGAGCCAATTAGTTGGCTTAAAAATCACAATCAAAGATAGAAACTCCATCAGCGTCTCTTCTCTGTTAAAAACATCTTTCACATTTCTTTTTTTGAAAATTGTCACTTCAATCACAGCCAAAAATGGCTTTTCATTTGAATGTTATTATAGGGGTCTTAAAATAAATAAGTGGCATGTTGTCCTCAGTCTGAGCACCAGCTCTTCAGAAAATAAAAGAGCTGTTAGAATTTCTCCTCCTTAACAAGCAGGTTTAAGTCAATATCATAGCACTTCACTGATAGGCATCCATTTATAAGTGCAGGTTTGTATTTACAGTGATATTCATCAGTATTTGTTATGACTAAGAGCCTAGTGTTCTCGATTAGAGGTCAGGTTTTGCAGTATGGGTTGGCCACTGAAGACTATTATCACAGCAACTATAATCATTACAGGCTGACAATGTAAGGTTGAGGTTTTATTTACACAGGGAAAGTTACAGCAACAAACCCCAGAAAAGTCCCTTCAGATGCCACCCGGTGAGGATTTATTGTAACTGCTTGTGTGTCCTAGAAAATGATTTAGATAGCTTATATTAGCTAAGGTGCACATTAGGGAAATTTTGTCAAAATGTCGAGTTCCATTGTCTGTTAACAGCAGTGTAGCAATGTATGAAGCACTGCTCACACAGAAGTTATTATCAAACCAATCAGCTTTCTGTTCATCAATGAGACAAAGTCACATGACCAACTGAACCCGATGCAAAATCTGTGTGGGGAAATTTTTCGCCCTCGTGCAAAACTGTTGATCGTGTGGATTCCTATTTGATATTCAAGCATTCACCCCCATTTCCATCATCAATTAATGTCTTTCGAAACCTGTATGGCTTTCTTTCTTCTATTGAAATAGTTATTTAGTGTTCAAACTGATTGTTTTCACACAATGAAAGTGACTCATTATGACTTAACTTTTGTTTTTAGCAAAAATGTAATAAAATAATTTTGCTAGTGCATTAAGAAAAATAAACGTAAATGTGCAATATGTAATATTGACAGCTAGCGGTTGAAATGGGTACTACAATCCATATTCAATATATTGGAGATAATATTTTCTTCCACTGTCTCCTCCTCTGACTCGACACTCATGTGGGTTGCCAGATTGACGACACGCAACAGGAACGAGCTTAATTGACAATAGAAGGCGATTAGCCACACTGTAAGTTGATGAGTTGATTTATCCGTCATAGAGTTTTAGATGGATACTGAGGATTTTTAGGTTGGGTAGAATCTGCGATCTCTGACCCAATTAGTTGTAAAGCTTTTATGGCTGCGATATGCTGTGTTTTCCACCAACTGGCAACCTGGGGTGTTGAAATTCTATTGGGTAAATTGGCATTGGGTGGAATCAAACAGTCCAAAACAAAAACAGACATTATGGGTAAAAAAATAAATAAAAAGACATTCAGAAGAATTCTGACAGAACACATATTACAAAGTAGAATAAGCTATATTTCAGGGAAAATAAATATTTACAGGAAAAGGAAACAACAACAACATGCTAATTACATTTCCTTGATCTTCTCACTTACCCACATTCATCTGTGCAAATTGGCATGACTGAAGTCATTATTGGTTTACTCAAGGTCACATGACTCAGCAGGATGGGTTTGTGTAAACAGAATTGGCAACACTTAGACCCTTGACACTGAGTAAACATTCCCTCAGAATTCATATAATTATTATATAATAATAATTATTCAGCCATCCATCCATAATTTTTTTAGTTATTGTAGATTTTACATGTTACGAGTTTATTTTCATTGAGAGTTTTGCCATACAATTCTAAATTCCGTTGGTTTGGAAAGACTGTTTTTAAGCACAAAAATGGGGAATAAAAGAGCAAAAACAGGGGAAAAGATGTTGGGCAGCACCATAAATATTCACTAGTGCTTAATGGATGGGTTTGGAAGCTGTTGGTGCTCCTTGTCTATTTGTTGGTGTTGTTAATGTTGCTTTTCCCCTCCGTCTCATCTCCCTCATGCTCATTAGCTCCACACAGCATGCTGGGAACATCAATCCTCCCCAGCAGAGAAAAACAGCATTGCTGTCATTCGATTAATGGCAATGCTCGAGTTCCAGCCCACCACCAAAGACCCGCTCTAAATCACTACCTCTGGCCACAACGCCACTGCAGAATGGAATTCAGGTTGGTTCGTTCGTTGGTAGGTTTTCTGAGCTCTTTGCGTGGTTAAGTCTGCCTGTT